CTAGGGTCCTGGGATCGAGTCCCGCATCGGGCTTCCTGCTCAGCAGGGAGCCTGCTTCTCCCTCTGCCTCTCTCTCTCTCTCTCTGTCTCTCATGAATAAATAAATAAAATCTTAAAAAAAAAGATTAATGCTGACCTCATTAAAATAAAATTTTGTAGAAAAAAGGACACCATAAATTAAGTAAAAAGAGAAAATAGTTCAACACATAACAGAAGGTTTCCACACAGATTATATCAAGTACTCCCATAAATTAATAACAGCCAATTCAATAGAAATATGGCCAAGGATATGAGTAGCCAAACAATTCTTGGTAGAGGAAACATGCAATGCCAATAACCATAAGGTGTTCTACCTTCCCAAGAGATTATAGAAACAGAAAAAAAAAAAAATCAACAAGAGGTATGCTTTAGGTATCGGATTGACAAACATTTCAAAAGTTTGTATCAGGGGCACCTGGGTGGCTCAGTCAGTTAAGCAGCTGACTTCGGCTCAGGTTATGATCTCAGGGTCCTGGGACCGGGTCCCTTGTCATGCTCCCTGCTCAGCAATGAGCCTGCTTCTCCCTCACCCTTTGCAGCTCCCCCTGCTTGTTCTCTCTCTCTCAGATAAATAAATAACATCTAAAAAATTTTAAAAATAAAAATAATAAAATAATAAAATGAGCATTTTCTATGACCTGGCAGTTCTGTTTATCTGTATCTACCCAACAGATACCGTCACACAGGTGCCAAAGGAAACGGGTACAAGAACGCTCATTGTAATATTTTAATAGCAAAAAAAGGGAAACAACCCAAACGTCTACCAAAAGAATGGTCAAACAAGACTTATTCATACTAATATGCAAGAGTGAAAAAGAATGGGCTAAGTGCAAACAAATTGCTGTGAAAGTGTCTCCAATAGAATTTTGAGTGAAAAGAGGAGGTTGTAGAATGAGATACATGGTTTTCTTTAAACACACACACAACAAAAATTTTTAAATGTTTTTTCTACCTCAATGGATATATGTGGGGCTGTGGTTAAAGGAGCCTTTCCCTTTATCCATATAGAACACTAAAAGTATTTTTTTTTTTTTTACAAAGGCACTTCATCATATATTAATTGTATAACTAAAAGTTAAATAATTAAAATACATTAAGACTAGTTAAGTTCATTCTTTCCCAGACCAGAGAATTTTAGCTATCCCAGTGTAACAAAGAAATTAGAATGTCTGCAGGAAAATGTCATTACAGGTGGGGAGAAAATTGAGCTTGGTTAAGGAGAGCAGACATTTTAATACTCCAGGGGAGCTGGTATTTTGCCATGGGACTATCTTTACGAAGTAACAATATGGACAAAAACACAAGTATTAGCCAGCATACAACCAGTATAGAAAACAACCAGGTTTTGATAGTAAAATATAAAAGCCCAGCTGTCACTACAAACCCAGCTCTTCATTGGCCAAAACCGACTTAGGCTGTTTTATCCTATTTCTTGATGAACAAGACACAAAATTGATGGGCAAGCATCGCCACCCAGTGGCTGTGTTTCACATTACAGATTTTATCACTGTACCCTTTGTCCCCTAAATCTCCAACCAATGGTTCTGACTTTTGGATATCTGTTAAAAGTCAAATATTTTATAAATTCAAGAGACCAGGGGCACCTGGCTGGCTCAGCTGGTGGATCGTGTGACTCTTGATCTCGGGGTTGTGGGTTCGAACCCCACATTGGGTGTGGAAATTACTTAAAAACACAAAATCTTTAAAAAAATAAGTAAATAAATTCAAGAGACCTGCATAGGGTTATCGATTTTTAAATTTTTTAAAAAAAGTTTTTAAACTTATTTAAGTAATCTCTACACCCCAAGATCGAGTTGCACACTCTTCTGACCGAGCCAGCCAGACGCCCCTCAATTTTTTAGTTCTGACAAACATTCTGACAAGTGAAGATTTTTAAAAAGCCTATCTACCATCATTGCCAGTTTATAAAAGAGCTGATCCTTAAAACCAAAAAATCAGAGAGGCCATGAATTCAGATAAAAGGAAAGCCATGTTTATGCAAGAACGGTTGAAAACTGGATACACATTTCATGAATAAACATCCCATAATGATATTAATAATTAGTTATTAGTTACCAGTTAGTTATGCTGGTAGATATGTCAACTCGACTGGGCTATAGGATGCCCAAAGAGGTGGTTAAATATTGTTTCTGAGTGTGTCTGTGAAGCTGTTTCTGGAAGATATCAGAACTTGAATTGGCATACCGGATAAAGATTGCCTTCTCCAATGTGTGTGGGCCATGTACAACCCACCGAGGGCCAGAATAGAACAACAAAGGCAGAGGAAGGTTGACTTCTCTCTCTGCCTGGCTGTTTGAGCTGGGACATCAGTCTTGGACTTACACCATTGTTGTCCCTGGGTCTCAGACCTTTGTACCGACTAGAACTATACTCTGCCTTTCCTGAGTGTCCAGCTTGCAGACCGATCACGGGACTCTTATTTCTCCTATCAGTTCTGTTTCTCTGGAGAACCCTCATGAATGTGATGGCATTTATGTAATTCTTCTTTACCAATACATGTCTCAGATTTTTTCCTTTAAGAGAGAGAGCACGAGCAGGGAGGGGTGGAGGGAGAAGAGAGAATCCCAAGCAGCCTCCACGCCCAGCACAGAGTTTGGCATGGGGCTCGATCTCATGACCCTGAGATCATGACCTGAGCCAAAATCAAGAGTCTGATGCTTAACAGACTGAGTCACCCAGGAGCCCCTGATTTATAAATAAAAGCAGAGCTGGAGACATGATCTTGTACACAGGTACTTAATTTGGGAGGTACCAAGGGGCGCCTGGGTGGCTCAGATGGTTAAGCGTCTGCCTTCGGCTCAGGTCATGATCCTGGGGTCCTGGGATCGAGCCCCACATCGGGCTCCCTGCTAGGCGGGGAGCCTGCTTCTCCCTCTGCCTCTGCCTCTCTCTCTCTCTCTCTCTCTCTCTCTCTCCGACTCTCATGAATAGATAAATAAAACATTTAAAAAAATTGGGGAGGTACCAGGAGCCAAAGGTAGGGAGAGTTAATGAATAATACTGTCCTTCCTATATAGAGCCAAACTACCTTTGAGCCTCTTTACCATTGGAATCGAAAAGAACCCATCTACCAGATGATATCCCATAGTAAGTTCCTTAGCTGTGTTTATCTGTTCTAGTAAAACCTCCCCCCAACACAGCAGCTATGATTGGGCTATGCCCTTGGCTAAGTGTACGTAGTTTATTACCATTATCGGCCATAATCCGTCTGGGTTTTGCAGGAGCCAAGCAAGTGAACTGAATGGGATAATGATGGGAACCAGCACCCCTGCATCCTCTGCATTTTTTTTTTCATCCTCTGCATTTCTGAAGATGGCACTCAGGTCTGCAATTCTGCCTGGGATTGCAGTATGTCTTCTGATTTAATACTGGCTGGGTCAGGACAGGATGAGGGAACCAATATGAGTTGCTAAGCATGTCTGTCCCAATTGTGGACTCAGGAACCTGGGACATTTCCACAGAGTCGGTGCATGGACACACTGACCCACAGCCATGCTTGTTCTGGCTCCATAAACTCCTCGTCTAACTGGGGTCCTTGCCAGTGTTTCAGGTCCCCTGGGTCACTGTCATCTCACAGCCTTTATCAAGCTCTTGGAAGATCTGCTTATTCTCATTTCTCCAGTGTATAGGAACTCTGGTAAATGACCACAAATTCCTTTGGGAAGTGACTAGGATATTTATTGCCTCTATTTGTGCTCGCTCTGCAGGGTCCCTCAAGTGGATTCTGCCTCCTCTACAGTTGCTGGATTCTGGTCTGAGAAGTAGGTCAGATTTTTTTTTTTTTTCTGGTCATACACATCAAGGAAGCACTTATACCTCATCCCTGGGAATACCGTGGTCAGATAGCCAAGCCATAGATCGCTGGTGTCAGGGGACTACGGCTGCCACCCTGCCCTTGCTACCAAGTCCAGCCACCCGGCTCTGCGTTCTGGAACCCTACCAGCCTCTGGGGAGCCTAGTTTCAGAGGACTCTGTCCTCAGCATTTGGGACTAGGATTTGGGAACGTCCGTTATGGATCATAATGGGCTGCAGGAGATCAGGTCATAAAGTGCAAACATCTCACATCTAGCTCATTTATTTAAAAAAATTCATTTCACTTTTTTCCCCCTTAACCTCCTCACATTAGGGGTACGATCCAGAGAAAGGCGACAACTTGCCAAAGCCACTTATCAAGTCAGTAGCAGGACCAGGACTAGACCTAGGCCCCCAGACTCCCCGTCAGTTCCTGCCTTCTCGGAACTTCAAAATTAGTGCTGGATCTCAGAAGATCACTAGGTGTTGGCTAGACACCTGCAGGCAGGAGGGCAGCGGGAAGGACATTCGAAGCCCTGTGTGCAGGCCTGAACCAGCCCCGGGATTTGGAAACTACAAGGAAAGCCATCTGACTCCAGTGGAGTGCGCGGCTAGGCGGGCGAGGTGAGCTGGGAAGGAGAATGCATTGCGGAAGGTAGCAGGGCTCCCCTGCAGGGTCGGGGGCAGCGGATGCACCTGCAGAGCTGCACTCTAGCGCGCTGTGGCTGGAGCACGACTGAGTGGCCTGGAAGCGGATGGGAAAGCTGCGACAAGGCCAGCTAAGAAATGACGAGGGGCCGTGGCAAGGAGGGTAAACCGGGACGGGAGAGAGCACCACATGGGAGCCGCGCAGAGCGGGCCACCCCTAAGTTTTACCTCTGCTGATTGACAAGCAGCAAAGGGCCTTCGGAACGAAAGCGCCCCGCGGCCCCGCGAGCCGGGGCGGGGAAGGCAGGCGTTGGGCCGGCCGCTGAGCCGGGAGACAGGTAGCGCGCTCGAGCGCAGCGCCCCGCCCACGCAGGCCCGCGGCTCCCCGGCTCCGCCCCGCCCCGCCCCGCCCCGCCCCCGCCTGCTTCTAGCCATTGGCGGCCCTCGGCGCCTTTGCCTTCAGCCAGTAGTCGACGTGGCCTCGGGCTCTTCCGCCGGGGCGTGGGGTCAAGGGTCACCCAAGATGGCGGCGTCCAGGAGGCGCTGAGCCCTGGAGCGGAGGATGGCGCTGGCGGCGCTCGCGGCCGGGGCTCGGCTGGGGCGGCAGCTGAGCCGGCCGGGCCCAGGGCTGAGGCCGGGGCGAGGGCACCGGACGGCGGCCGGGCGCTCGCGGAGCTCGTGCGAGGCGGACGCACCCGTGTTCCAGTACGTGGGCGAGCGGGCGGCCCGTGCCGACCGCATCTTCGTGTGGGGCTTCAGCTTCTCGGGGGCGCTGGGCGTGCCCACCTTCGTGCTGCCCAGCGCTGGGCCCAAGCACCGCGCCGGCTCGCGGCCGCCCCGCAGGATCCAGCCCGTGCCCTACCGCCTGGAGCTGGACCAGAAGGTGCGGGCCGGGGCTTTCTCCCTCCGTCGCGCCCTCCGGCCTCCGCCGCTGCCCCCTCCCCCCGAGGCCCTCTGCGAGAAGTTGGGAGGCTGGGTGGTCCAATGTCGGGGAGGAGGACCCTCGAGGGGGCTGCAGGCCCGGGAGGGGAGGGCGTTAGGGCGCTGCTCACATTTAACGAGTGGCCGAAACGTGCCCCTGTCGGGCCAGACAGGCGTCATTCGCACGTCACCCCCGGAGTCGGGGTTGTCACCACAGTCGCAGTTTAATTTCGTTGTGGTTACAGAATATACTTTCTTTAATTTCAGCCCTTTTAAGTATTGAGACTTTGTTTTATAGGCCAGCATATGGTCTTCTCTGGACAGTGTTCCATGTGTGCTTGAAAGGGATGTGTGTTCTGCTGTTGGCTGGGCGGAGTTGATGTCAGGTCACGTTAGTAACTTCTTGGTGGACCTATTATTTGCTCCAACTGCTGTCCACCACCTCAGGCAGCTGCAGTGTTCATCGTTAGCTGCTGATTGTTTTCAACAGATATCCCTGGGGAAAAAGGCTGTTTGCACTGCGTGATATCTGGGTCAGGTCAGATAAATAGAGCCTTGTGCATGGGGTCTTCCAGGGAACCACCAGACAGATCAGGATGAGAATGCTCTGGGAATGGAGCTTTTCTTCTAAACCCTTTCTGCCTCTTCCAGTGGCTGCTAGGCTGCCGGTTTGCGCTGATTGTGAGCTGTTGCCTTTCAGAGCTGCTGCAGAGCTGAGCAGAGGTGGATGGGAATAGGTCAAGGGGAAATGCTGCAAAGCTTGCTCTTCTTACTGAGACTCAGCTGCTTTTCTCGAGTAAACATTCCCTAGATTGTTTTAAGTCTTTGGTTGATTTCCAGAGTTCTGAAAAAAATGATTCTGACGTTGGCCAGTGTTCTCTTTGCTCCACCATTTTCACTGATACCACTCAATCCATGTCCTTTTAATGTAATTACTGATATGGTTGGATCACATCTGCCATCTTGCTATTTATTTCTTTAGGTCTTTGGTTTCTCTGCTCGTCCTTTGCTGCCTTCTTTTGTGTTGAATAGGCATTTTTGGGTACCTTTTAAATTCCTTCGTTGGGTGTTTTGCCGTATATTTGAGGTTTTTCTTGGGATTACAATATGTATCTTAATTTGGCACAGTCTATGTTAGGTTATTAGTGACCTAATTCTGAAAACAAAAACAAACTATAGCAACTTTGTTCCAATAAAGCTCCAGTTTCTCTTCTCTCCCTTGTGGGGTTATTGTGATATATATTTACATTTTAAGCCTAATACTACAACTTTATAGTTATTATTTTATGCAGTTGTCTTTTGAATCATTTAAGAGACAAAAAGACAAAAGATATTCATGCAGTGTTTTCTAGTTACCTTTATAATTACTTTAGCTGGTGCTCTTCATTTCTTCTGATTTTTTTTTCTTTTTTTGTTACCATTTCCTGTCATTTCCTTTCAGCCTGAAGGACTCCTTCAGTACTTGTCAAGGCAGGTTTGCTGAATTCTCTTTGTTTCGGAAGGCCTTTATTTCTTTTCTTTTAAGGATAGCTTTGCTGCTTACAGAATTAATTCTTGGTGGACAGTTTTTATCTTTTCAGCACTTTGAATATGTCATTCTGGTTTCTGGTCTCCCTTGTTCCTGATAAGAATTTAGCTATTAATCTTATTGTTGTTCTCTTGTCCTTGATGAGTCCATTTTCTTTTGATACTTTCCAAGATTTTCTCCTTCTGAGATAGATGAGAATCGGCGCCTTCAGGCTCGTATGGCGATAGACTTGTTAACAGTTTAACTGTGACTTGTTGAGTAACTTTGACCTGTAGATTTATGTTTTTCATAAAATTTGATAAGTTTACTGGGCGCCTGGGTGGCTCAGATGGTTAAGCGTCTGCCTTCGGCTCAGGTCATGCTCCCAGGGTCCTGGGATCGAGTCCCTCATCGGGCTCCCTGCTGGGCGGGGAGCCTGCTTCTCCCTCTGCCTCTCTCTCTCTCTCTGACTTTCATGAATAAATAAATAAAACATTAAAAAAATTTGGTAAGTTTTCTGTCATTATTTTAAGCATTTTTTTTTTTTTTTGTCCTTTCTCTCTTGCCCTCCTGGGGTTCTCATTACATAGATGTTGATAACTTGATATTGTCTCATAGGTCATAGGTCTCTGAGTCACTGTTCTTTTTTTTTTTTTTTTTTCCTGATCTTCAGAATGACTAATCTCAGTTGATATTTCTTCAGGTTAACTGCTTCTTTCTTCTGTCATCTCAAATTTGCTTCTGTGCCTGTTAGTGAATTCTTTATTTTGGTTACTGTATTTTACAACTCTAGAAATTCCATTTAGCTTTTTAATGTTTTTATTTCTGTATTCAAATTCCATCGTTGTGAAAACATTGTCGTCATATTTTCCTTTAGGTCTCTATAAATTTTGTATTTTAAAGATCTTATTTATTTATTTATTTTGAGTAATCTCTGCCCCCAACGTGGGGCTCGAACTCACAACCCTGAGATCAAGAGTTGCATGCTCTACGGATTGAGCCAGCCAGGTGTTCCTTCTTTAAGTTTTTTAAACATGGTTTTATTTTTTATTTATTTTATTTTATTTTATTTATTTATTTTTAAATATTTTATTTACTTATTTGTCAGAGAGAGAGCACAAGCAGGGGGAGTGGCAGGCAGAGGAGGAAGCAGGCAGAGGGAGGAGCAGGCCCCCAGCTGAGCAGGGAGCCCGATGCGGGGCTCCATCCCAGGACCCTGGGATCATGACCTGAGCTGAAGACAGACACCTGACCGACTGAGCCACCCAGGCGCCTCCTAAACATGGTTTTAAAAATATTCTTTGGGGGCGCCTGGGTGGCTCATTCGTTAAGCATCTGCCTTCGGCTCAGGTCATGATCCCAGGGTCCTGCTCGGTGGGAAGCCTGCTCCTCCCTCTCCCTCTCCCCCTGCTTGTGTTCCTTCTCTCACTGTGTATCTCTCTGTCAAATAAATAAATAAAATTTAAAAAAAATATATTCTTTGAACAATAGTTTATTGAAGTCTTTGATAAATCCAACATCTGGGTCCACTTAATGTCAGTTTCTTTTGGCTGCTTTTGTCCCTCCAGTGTAGGTCACACTTTCTTGCTTCTTTGCATGTCTTGTACTTTTTGGTTGAAAACTGGACTTTTTGGTGATATTTTATAGTTTTGGAATCTGAGATTTTTCCCTTGAGATTTTTTTTGTTTGTTCGTTTTCCTTTTTTTTTTTAGTAACTTTTGTGGACTTCACGTATAGAATCAGTCTTCCATGCTGTGCATGGCCGCTGATATCTTTGTTCAAGTTACTGATCTGTGTCGTTCCCCAGACCCCCCCCTTTCCTTAGCTTGGCTCCTTGAGTGTTGCCCTCTGTCTGCATACCTTTAGGGTCAGCCAATGATTTGGGCAGAGTTTGTGCACACTTTAAGCTTATAAGGTTTCTGCCTTCTACCTTTGATTCTGTGTAAAGATTGGGTACCACATTCAAAGATCAGGCTGTTCTCACGTCTGCTTCAGCTTTACTTGGTACAGGGTCCTCAGCTCTCCCGTGTTCACTCGCAGTTTCCCAATCAGCCATGGATGTGTGCAGAGCCTTCCGTGGCAATTTTACTTCTAGGAGCTTTCCGTTACACTTCTGCCTGGTCTGCCTCTCCTCTTGCCCTGGTCAGGATTATAACCTCAGACTGGCCAAGTTGTGGATTTTCCTTGTTTGTTTCTTACTGAATTCACTACGGGCATGAGTTTTCACCTTCTACCCCAAAGTAAGTGGCAACAAAGTTGATGGTTTTCATGGTCAACCCTGCCGTTTTAAAACATATGTGCTTGGGACACTTGGGTGGCCCAGTTGTTTAAGCGTCTGCCTTCGGCTCAGGTCATGATCCAGGGTCCTGGGATCTAGTCCCTCGTCGGGCTCGCTGCTCCGCGGGAAGCCTGTTTCTCCCTCTGTCTGCTGCTTCCCCTGCTTGTGCTCTCTTTCTTTCTGACAAATAAATAAATAAAATCTTAAAAAAAAAAAAACACAAAAAACACATGTGCTAGCTCAGTTGGAGTTGATGGAGCACCCCAGACGGGAAGTCTGCAGATTCCTGCTGTTGTTGCCTTAAGTTCTTGTTTCTTCTTCTTCTTCTCCCCGCTTTTTTTTTTTTTTTAAGTTTTATTTATTTAAGTAGTCTCTCCACACAGTCTGGGGCTTGAACTCACAACCCCGAGATTAAGAGTTGCAAGCTCTTCTGACTGAGCCAGCCACGCGCCCCTCCCTGTTACCTGAAGTTCTAGCAGTCTTTCACAGATAAACTTTTCTCAATTTATTTGCCTTTGATTTCTCCATCCCTGAAATGGTTTTTTTTCTTTTAAGTTTGTCCAGTTTTTTTTTTTTAAAGATTTATTTATTTATTTATTTGAAAGAGAGAGAGAATGAGAGAGAGAGCATATGAGAGGGGGGAGGGTCAGAGGGAGAAGCAGACTCCCCGCCGAGCAGGGAGCCCGATGCGGGACTCGATCCCGGGACTCCAGGATCATGACCTGAGCCAAAGGCAGTCGCTTAACCAACTGAGCCACCCAGGTGCCCTGGTTTTTTTTTTTTTTAATTTTATTTATTTGAGGGGGAGAGAGAGAGAGAGTCTGCACGTGCACACACACAAGTGGGGAGAGGGGAAGAGAGAGAGGGAGAAGCCGGCTTCCCGCGGAGCAGGGAGCCTGATGCGGGGCTCGATCCTAGGACCCTGGGACCATGACCTGAGCCAAAAGCAGACGCTTAACCGACTGAGCCACCCAGGCACCCCACTACTATGTGTTCTTTGGGCAAACAGCCTGTCATTCATTGCAGAGAAAACTTGACACCACAAATCAATTCATGCTTTATGGGAACTCTTTTTCAGATTTCATCTGTTGCCTGTGGCTACGGATTCACACTGCTATCCTCTAAAACTAAGGATGTGACGAAAGTTTGGGGTATGGGGCTCAACAAGGATTCCCAGCTTGGATTTCACAGGAGCCGCAAAGATAGATGTGAGTGTGCCCATCTCGGCTTCCCTGGGCTGTGATCGGTATGAGGGAATTCCCTTTGGTTTTCAAGAATATGGTGACACAAACCGGACGAGCAGAGCAGACGAGATGGAGTCTTACACGGATATTATGTGGGACCATCTGGACTAGATTGATTGTCAGCCTCTTTGGTAATAACACTGAACCTTTAGGCAAAAGAGCCTTTAGTGATAAGTAAAAATGTTCCTCTTCTTGTGCCTGATTTATAAACTTTTTTTAAAGATGTTGTTTATTTGAGAGAGAGGGAGAGTGTGTGTGTGTGTGTGTGTGTGTGTGTGTGTGTGTGTATGTGTATGTGTGTGTGTGCACGCAGAGGGAGAAGGGGAGAGAAAATCCCAAAGCAGACTCTGCACTGAGCATGGAGGCTGATGTGGGGCACGAGCCCAGGATTCTGAGAACATGACCCAAACTGAAATCAAGAGTTGGATGCTTAACTGTCCAAGCTACCCAGGCACCTCGCCTGATTGATTGATTGATTGATTTTTAAAGATTTTATTTATTTATTTGAGAGAGAGAGAATGAGAGACAGAGAGCACGAGAGGGAAGAGGGTCAGAGGGAGAAGCAGACTCCCTGCTGAGCAGGGAGCCCGATGTGGGGCTCGATCCCGGGACTCCAGGATCATGACCTGAGCCGAAGGCAGTCGCTTAACCAACTGAGCCACCCAGGCGCCCACCTCGCCTGATTTATAAATTAAATTTTATCATAGATACACAAAAGAAAAAATATAGTGTATATGGGGTTTGGTTCTATCTGTAGTTTCAGGCATCCATTGGGGGTCTTGGAATGTATCCCCCATGGATAGGGGGGATGGCTGTACTGGGCAGTACCTTTACTGTCTGGATAAACTTTTTCATTTTTTTCTTGTTTCCTCATTCATGTGCAAATACATTTTTGCACAGTTTTGATCAGTGTGTATTTTCTGCCTTTCACTTAATTTTGTATCAAAATTCTTTTGTAAGTCAGTACTGAAGTCTCTTTTAGCTGTAAGATGCCACATTGCATTTGTTACACCTTTTGTTGGGAGGACCTTTAGGCATACACAGAAATGGACAGAGTCGTGTAAGGCATACCAGCTGCAGTTACCAGCCAGTTTGGTTTTGTTCATTTCCTGCACCCTCCCCTCAATAATTTTAAGCAACTCCCAACGTTATTAATTTCATTAGTAAATATTTCAGAACGTATTTAAAAAAAAAAATAAGGACCTTGGGGCGCCTGGGTGGCTCAGTTGGTTAAGCGTCTGCCTTTGGCTCAGGTCATGGTCCCAGGGCCCTGGGACTCTGGCTCTCTGCTCAGCAGGGAGCCTGCTTCTCCCTCTCCCTCTGCCTGCCGCTCTGCCTACTTGTGCTCTCTGTCTCTCAAATAAATAAATAAGATCTTAAAAAAAAAAGGGCCTTAAAAAAAGTAAATGCAACATCGTTTTCACACCTAAAAATAATGAACAATATAATCCCTTTATGTTACGAAATATCCAGTCAGTGTTCAAATTGTCAGTTATCTCATAAATGTCATTAGATTTTTGTTTAATTTAATTTATTTTATTTTATTTTTTTTAAGATTTATTTATTTATTTATTTGAGAGAGAGAGAATGAGAGACAGAGAGCATGAGAGGGAGGAGGTCAGAGGGAGAAGCAGACTCCCTGCTGAGCAGGGAGCCCGACACGGGACTCGATCCCGGGACTCCAGGATCATGACCTGAGCTGAAGGCAATTGCTTAACCAACTGAGCCACCCTGGCACCCTAGATTTTTATTTTATTTTTTAAAAATTTGTTTGAATCAGTATCCAGATAAGTTCCAGACGTTGCAATTAGTTGATAAGATTTTTATTTTTATTTTTTTTTTAAAGTAGGTTCCTCACCCAACATGGGGCTTGAACTCAGGACCCTGAGATCAAGAGTCCCATGCTCTACCGACCGAGCCAGCCAGGCGCCCCAGTTGCTAAGACTTTTAAAAGTCTTTTAAGTCTATTTAATCTTTTTTTTCTTGAAGCTTATTTACTGAAGAAATTATACTGGCAACCAACTCAGCCAACTGTATTTGTGAAACAAAGAAATAAAGGCTTACTTTTTTTTTAGAAAAAAGGAAAGAAAAGAGAAGAGGGACACCTGGCTGGTTCAGTTGGTAAAATGTGCGACTCTTGATTTTGGGGTTGTGGGTTCGAGCCCTATAGTGGGTGTAGAGATTACTTAAAAATAAAATCTTTAAAAAAAACTAAAAAAAAAAAGAAATCACACTGTTTATCCTGTAGAATTCTCCCGTCTGGAGTTTGCTGTGGTTCTATTTAAACTCCTGACAGCTGTATTTACAGCCAGGTTCCCCTTAAATGATACGTATTTACTGCTTCCCAGGCCCTTAGGGGTCTATGCAGAGAGCAATAGGAGATGTGTACGCTAACAACATTGTCCATAGAGTGACTTCTAAAAAACTTTCCCCTTGCTTATTTAAAAATGAAAATTTTCAGGGGCGCCTGGGTGGCTCAGTCGGTAGAGTGTGCAACTCCAGGATCTCAGGGTCATAAGTTTGAGCCCCACGTTGGGTGTAGAGCTTACTGTAATTAATTAACAAATTAATTAAGAAAAGTTTCATTTTAAAGATTTCATTTTATTTTCAAAGTAATCTCTACATTCAACATGGGGCTCGAGCTCACGAGCCTGAGATCAAGAGTCTCATGCTCTACCGACCGAGCCAGCCAGGGGCCCCTAAAATTTTCTCTTTTGACTAGAGAGCTTATTTGCATACTTCAGAATCCTACAGGTACAGTGTATATGGTGGAAAGGCTGCTTTCTGCCTCTGTCCTCCCAGCGGCACAGTTTTTCTCCCTGAAGACAACCTGTGTTAACAGTTTCCAGTTTCTCCTTCTGGAAAGATGTGATGCGTATGCAAGCAGATGCTTCTACATATTCTTTTCCCCACTTTTTAATACAAGCGGTATCGTTACTGGTTAGTGGGTCTTACAGGAGGAAAATGCCATCACTCTCCTTAGATGCAAATGGTGTTAATGACACGGGAAGGCTCATTGGAGCCAGTGGGGTGCAGCGGGTCCGGACCTGGGGCCTGGGGCTCTCGTCTTAGCTCTGCCACTAGCTTATGTGCCTTGACGAGTCACTCTGATCTGTGACTGTGGGGCATTGTGGGGGTTGGACAGCATGAGGCTGTGACTCTCCGTCTGTGTGACGCACCGTGAACTTGCGCGTTCTTCTTTCAGCCAGGGGATACGAGTATGTTCTGGAGCCTTCGCCCATCCCACTGCCCCTGGACAGACCTCAGGAGACCCAGGTGCTGCAGGTCTCCTGCGGCAGAGCCCACTCTCTCATCCTGACAGACCGCGAAGGAGGTGAGTTGGCCTGTTCCAGGTTCATGGGGCGGCGGGGAGCCCTTGGCCTTGGCTTGAAACTGCTTTGTTTGATGGAACCACACATAGTGAGGCTCCTGGCATTTCCCGAGCAAATCGGGAGGATGGCTCACTATCACCACATTGGGCAGATCCTGCCAGCTCTTTTATGTTCTCTGCTCTCTGCGATTCTTCGAAAACCTCAGGTATTAATAAATGTGACAGTGCACACCAGGCCGCCTGAGCGAGGCCTCCCACCCACTGCCTTTGCCGTGAAGTCACTGAGCCGGGCTGTGCGTGTAGACGATGTTTTGTGTTGTACCGAAAGGAGCCTGTTTGCCAGCACTTTTTCAGCTGGTGGGCTTTCAGAGTCCAGATAACACGGACTCTCCCGAAGAGCGATTGTTTCCAGGGAAAGGCCCTCTTGACTAAATGTTTCCAATTTCATTTTCTAGCTAAGTGTGCTTTGTGGGAAAAGGCAAAGGTGGTGTTCAGGAACTCTTTCAAGAGCAGCTTTGGCGGGGCGCCTGGGTGGGTCAGTTGGTTAAGTGTCTGCCTTCGGCTCAGGTCATGATCCAAGGGTCCTGGGATCGAGCCCCGCGTCGGGCTCCCTGCTCAGCGGGAAGCCGCTTCTCCCTCTCCCACTCCCCCTGCTTGTGTTCCCTCTCTCGCTGTGTCTCTCTCTGTCAAATAAATAAATAAATAAAATCTTTAAAAAAAAAAAACAAAAACCTTTGGCATGGAGGGCAACCTCTGGTGATAGGTCCAGGGAGTGGGGGTGCTGGGGCCTTCCCCAGGGGGTACTTGCCTCGGAACGTGGCATTTGTGAGAGGTGGAATGAGGACCTGCAGGGGAAGGCAGAGGGGACCGTCAAGGTGGCTCAGGCTGTTGCTGCAGGGCCAGGCCCCAGCACGCCTGTGGGTGAGCCTGCAAAGGCTGGGGGTATTGGGGAAACGGGTGCTTAGGGTGAGTGGTTGGACTAAGACCACTTCCGAGACCCCCTTTGCAAGGCCTCACATTCTGGGATCCCATGAACCTGCAGAGCTGATTTCATTGGTGGTGTTATTCTTCAGTCTTTAGCATGGGAAACAATTCTTATGGGCAGTGCGGAAGAAACGTGGTTGAAAATGAAATTTACAGGTGAGTTCCCCAAAGGACTTCCCCAAATCGTGTTAAGCATTTAACATTTCTCGTGTGGTTACTAAGTGATAGACGCACAGAACAGGAAATGGCATGCTTCCCCCTGCTTGAGAGGGGCGGTGAGAAGTCACTGGAAAGCTGTGGAGGGTATTGTTCCATTGCAGGTTGAACTCTATATGGTAGCTTGGTGGAAGGGAGGGCGGTCGGGTGTTGATTGTGGTGTGTAGAACTTCTTTTGAATTAGTTTTTTATTTTTACCAAATTGATTAACTTTAAAAATTCTTCTCTGTTCCTTTCTTATTTATTTCAGTCTTTTTTTTTTTCCTAAGATTTTATTTTTAAGTAATCTCTACACCCAACGTGGGGCTCAAACTCACAGCCCCAAGATCAAGAGTCACACGCTCTACCCGTGGAGCCAGACCCTTATTTATTTTGAACTTTAAAAAAATTCCCCTCTCCTTCCTCACATTATGCTGTTGGGTCTAAATACAAGTCTCACCTCTGGCAGCATATTAAAAATCACCAAAGGTGGGGGACACCTGGATGGCTCGGTCTGTTAAGCGTCTGCCTTTGACTCAGGTCATGATCCCAGGGGTCTGGGATCAAGCCCCGCATTGGGCTCCCTGCTCAGTGGGGAGCCTGCTTCTCCCTCTGCCATTCCCCCCTGCTTGTGCACTCTCTCTCTCTGACAAATAAATAAATAAAATCTTAAAAAAAAAAATCACCCAAGGCGGCGGGGGGGTGCACCTGGTTGGCTCAGTCCGTAGAGCATGTGACTCTTGATCTTGGGGCTGTGAGTTTGAGCCCCACATTGGGCATGGAGCCTATTTAAAAAAAAAAAAATCACCAAAGGGTTGTTTTGTTTTGCTCTCATGCCTAGGCCTACCTCTGCCCTATATTTGACTTTGAGAGTTTCCCTCACAATTCCTGTGTGCATTTGGGGTCTGTCAGTTAGGGGTGACGGGCAGGGGCAGAACCACACTTGAACCACACTTACCTTGACCGTATCTCTTGCTTCTCCCTAAATTGCTCCTGGCTTCAGCGAAAGTCACAAAGTCAACAGAATGCAGGACTTCGATGGGCAGGTGGTGCAGGTAAGAGGCGCATGCTGAGAGCCACTCATCCAGCCCTTGGGGGTGCCTTTGCAGGGGTGAAAGGTGGGGGGGGCGGTGATGGCGAATTGGTTAGGGCAGTTCTCTCAATTAATAAATTATTTTAGTAAAAAATATTGCCTGCCTCCTGTAGGTCAGGAGGGTATTGGTTTCCACTAGGGTTATGGGGGTACAGAGTTTAATAAGGTCTGGAGGGCTGACGCCCTAAGAGAGAGGTACAGATTAAGCTAGCTGTGTGTGTGTGTGTGTGTGTGTGTGTGTGTCCCAGGCTGGTGTGTGTGTGTGTGTGTGTGTGTGTGTGTGTGTCCCAGGCTGTCCATATCTTGCTCGCTCTTTCGTTTCCATCCCTGGTGCAGTGCCTGGCACGTGGTCAGTATGTACAATAAATACTGAAGTACATAAGCGGACGCTTACAGGAAGGGCCCTGGGAGCACAGGAGGGGAATCGTTAAGTCTCCCAGGGGTGGAGTGAGAGGGGGAGGAGGCGGGTATCAGATAGACCAGGGCTGGGTGGTAGGAAAGGTGTTACGGCAGAAGGATGGGGCAGCCTGAGGGCTTGGAAGGGAGGATGGGGAGCTAGTGACAAAGATCGGGGGCCGGTAGGGAGGCTGAGGAGGGGGACGGGGAGGAGTGAGGCTTATGGAGGAGGGGGACTAAGCAAGAAGAAGATGTGGGAGCCGTGCGGGGCGGCCCGTTGGGCCCAGCTGGCTCACCGCTTGGGAGTGGTAGGGAATGTGGGGAGCTTTGGGTCCGGCGCTCGACCAGGACACTGGGCTCCCGAGGATTTCTCTTCAGCCTCACCGCTGTTCATCCGGCAGGTGGTTTGTGGCCAGGACCATAGCCTGTTCCTGACGGACAAAGGAGAAGTCTACTCTTGTGGCTGGGGCGCCGACGGGCAAACAGGTAGTGGGCCCTTCCCCCCGGCGATGGCGCACCAGGGAGCTGGGAGCTGTAGGGTGAAAAGTGAAAGCCCCACTTGCTGGAGCTAACCACGGTTGACCGTTTCCTGGAGCCACTCCGGAAGCGAGCTGTCACAGGTGACACCTTCTGTGGCCTCCCTGCCCTTGCTTGCTGGGCTCGGCGTCCAGCCATGCAGGCCCCCTGCAGTCACTTCCTGGAGCCGGCCTCCTCTTGTAGCCCGAGGGCCTTGACACAAGCCGACCTTGCCTGGAGTGCCTGTCTTCGCTCTCCTTCTCATCCGTTAGGGCTCATCATTGCTTATCACTTCCTTTTCAGATTTACCTGGCCATTATCGATAGTCTCTTATTCCTGCTTTTGTTTCTTTAAACATTGCCCCCAGTTCTTTTTTTTATTTTGTTGGTTCGGTTTACTCTGACTCACAGGGGCGTCCTTCCTTGTGTGTTGAGTAACATTTGACCGCGGGCTCCTATTTTGTTGAATTGAACTTGCGGAAACTGGAAGGGCCTAAATGGAGATGCTTTCCTCCGGAGGGGGTTCAGGTTGGCTTTTGCCTCTTGCTAAGGGGTGCTTCGAGTCTGACGTTGCCCTGGGTCCCATTGAGGAAGCCTGGTTTAAAGCAGGGAGTCAGGGGTGTGCAATCTGCCTTGGTCTGCTGCCTGGGACTCCCCTTCTGTCACATGCGGATGGTGACGTGTGTCCCGATAGCCTCTGGCCCGCCCTGCCTTTTCCCTTGTTCACTGTCTACCATGCCAGTGGGCTAGTTTCAGCTTACTGTTATTTTGGGGGGTGTTGTGGGGGTTGGGATGGGCTCTGGGAGATTTCCTTTATTCTCTGGTAAGCCCAGCGACGGTGCATTGGAGATCGCTTGTTGCAGCATTCCATGTGTGTATTCTCATAGGGTCCCCGGGCCTCATTGTGTCGTGCTGTTCTGTCTCGTAAACATTTCTAACTTGAATCAGACTTAGAAAGCCTCCAGGGTTTTAAAAATAAACGCTCACTCTTCTGTTTGTTCCTCCTCTGAGAAAGCGTGGAGAAGGAAGTTGTAGCGTGCGCAGAGGACCAGATCAGCCTTGCCGAGCTGATCCTTGTAAAGCGTTTAACACCGTGCTCGGCACGTAGGAAGCCTGTGGAAGTGTCTGTTCCCAGAGTCAGTAGCTGGGAGTAACGCTTGGCTGTCGTGGCAGGTCTGGGCCACTACCGTATCACCAGCGTGCCCACCAAGCTGGCCGGGGACCTGGCCGGAGTGAACATCGTGCAGGTGGCCACCCACGGTGATTGCTGCCTGGCCGTGTCTGCTGAGGGCGGCCTCTTCGGTTGGGGGAACTCGGAGTACCTGCAGCTGGCCGCCGTTACCAACTCCACACAGGTACGGGTCGCTCACAGCGCCGCCTGGGAGGTGTGGAATTACAAAGGGTTACGGGCGTTTATAAGAGGCTCTTCAGGGGCGCCTGGGCAGCTCAGTTGGTTGGGTGTCCGACTCTTGATTGCAGCTCATGTCCTGGTCTCAGGGTCGTGGGGTTGAGCCCCACAGTGGGCCCCGTGCTCCGTCGGGAGTCCACTGGAGATTCTTTCCCTTGCCCCCTGCCCCTTTCCTGCTTGTGTGCGTGTGCATGGGTCTGTGCTCTCTCTCTTTCTCTCCTCAAATAAATAAATCTTTAAAGAAAACAAAAGCTTCTTCAGCGAAGTGTGACGTGGGACGTGCTGTTTAGGCCCGACCACCTGTAAGACCGCCTCTTCCTGGCCAGCGTCTCAGAGTCTGGAATGAAACCCGGGGGTCAAAGCCATGGTTATCCAGCCTCCGACGCGGCAGTCCTGCCGTAGAGCAGGCTGTTGGGTGCGCCTGTGCGCCCCGTCCCAGTCTGAAAGGGGTGGGAGTTCCCATGGTGTCCCCATGTACTTCCTGTTGCCATGTAATATACATGCCACGCAGAGTGTGCAGGTCACAAGTGTGCACCTGGCTCCTCCCCGCCCCCCAGGCAGCAGGACACGCACAGTACTTCAGGAGCCACTGCCTGTGGCCTGTCACCGCCCCCGCCTTCTCACCGAAGGGAGCCACCCTCACTACAGTATGGCAGGGTTTTAAGCATGAAGGGGAATCGCAGATAAAAACAAAAAGTAGAGCTCACTGCATGATGACTCTCCGTATATCTCTCACCTGCATTCAACAGTTCTCAACTAAGGGCCTATTTAAGAGAACAGACAAAACCAACCCCCGCCCCCCCCAGAAACCCAAGACATCATTCACCGTTTTCAAGTGTAGAACTTAGTGGTTTTTAGTGTAGTCTCGAGTTGTGCAGCCATCTAATTCCAGAACATTTTCTTTGCCCTCCCCCCCTCCCCCCCCCCAAAACAAGCCCATGCCCCTCATGGCCAGTTTTTGTTGCTATCTGCTTCTCTGCCCTGGATTTTTTTTTTTAGAGAGAGCATGTGCATGGGGGGTGGGCAGGACAGAGGGGGAGAGAGAGAGAGAGAGAATCTCAAGCAGGCTCCACACGGAGTGTGGAGCCTGACGCAGGGCTCGATCCCAAGACCCTGAGATCACGATCTGAGCTGAAACCAAGAGTCGGACTTCAACCGACTGAGCCACCCGGGTGCCCCTGCCCTGGATTATTTTGCAGTAAATCCCAGACATATTTTATCCATAAAAGTTTCCATATGTCTCTTTAAAAGATAAGGACTATTTAAAAAATATATTTTATTGCTTAATACTGTCAAACTTCTGACATATACAGAGGGTTTTAAATATGTATTTTTTTAAAGATTTATTATTTTAGAGAGAGAGAACACGAGGAGGGAGAGGGAGAGAGGAAATCTCAAGCAGATTACTTGCTATGCACAGAGCCTGACGGGGGTTCGACCCCAAGACCCTGAGACCACGACCTGAGCTGAAACTGAGAGTCGGTCGCTTAACCGACTGAGCCACCCAGGTGCCGCTGCCCTGGATTATTTTGCAGTAAACCCCAGACGTCATATTTTTTTTTTTAAGATTTTATTTATTTATTTGACAGACAGAGATAGTGAGAGCAGGAACACAAGCAGGGGGAGTGGGAGAGGGAGAAGCAGGCTTCCCACCAAGCAGGGAGCCCGATGTGGGCCTCGATCCCAGGACCCTGGGGTCATGACCTGAGCCGATGGCAGATGCTTAACGACTGAGCCATTCAGGCGCCCCGAGATGTCATGTTTTATCCATAAAAGTTTACATATGTCTCTTTAAAATATAAGGACTATTTAAAAAATGCATTTTATTTCTTAATACTATCAAACTTCTGACAACATACAGAAGGTTTTAAATATGTATTTTTTTAAAGAATTATTTATTCATTTGAGAGGGTGAGAGAGTGGGTGGGGGGCAGATGGGAAAGAAAGAGAGAGAGAGAATCTCAAGCCGACTCCCTGCTGTGCATGGAGCCTGACCTGAGGCTCAATCCCAAGACCCTGAGATCATGACCTGAGCTGAAACCGAGAGTCGGTTGCTTAACTGACAGCATCACCCAGGCACCCCTTAAATATGTATTAATAAAGAGATCAGCCCAGAGGGAAACTAAAGGTCAGCGAACAGGATGAGGAGAAGCATTCCCTGTGGTCTGGCCCAGTGGCTAGAAGCCGTTGCAGATACGGTTCTGAGCTTCCTAGTTAAGCCAAAGCAGAGAAGAAAACACGCCCATTTAAATGATTCATTGTTTCTATAAGATAAACAAATAACATGTTCAGGAGAATTGTTGCTCTTCCTGCTCCCAAGTCCTGAGAACCTGTGTCCCACAGCCTTTCTGTGGCGGACAGATCCAGGGTCGTGGCAGTTACTGCTGCATAACAAATGAGCCCAGCCCTTCGTGATTGCACCCAACACACATTTATTATCTCACAGTTTCTGTGGGTCAGGCATCCAGGGGTGGCTTAGCTGGGTCTTCTGGCCCTGGTCCCTCGAAGGCTGCGGTCATTTGAGGGTTCAGTGGGCAAAGGCTCTACCTCCGGGACCACCCTGGTGGTTGTTGGCAGGACGCAGGTCCTCGCGGACCTTTGGACCGGAGCCCCGGTTCCTCGCTGGTGGTGAGGCAGCTACTAGCTGTTGGCCCAGCCTTCCTTGGTTCCTGGCCGTGTAGGCTTCTCCATATGGCAGCTGGCTTCATCGGAGCCAGCAAATGAGAGAGCGAGTGAGACGGAAGCGAGCGTTTTATCATTTAATCTTGGCAGTGACCCCCCCTGGCTTTCACTGGCATTCTGCTCCTGAGAAGCTGGTCATGAGGTCGGGCCCCACACCAGGGCCCGGGGGAGCGGCGGGGGGTGGGCACGTGGGTGTGACTAGCAGGAGGTGGGGGTCACGGGGACCTTGTGAGGAGCGGCCCACCGCAGCCGTGACTCGACCGAGGCCTGAGCCTGGTCCTGTCTCGGACAGCGGGCTCCATGCTAGAGCGTTTCTTGGCGCTTGCTGAGGGCGTCGTGCCAGAGCACGGTCAGGTAAAGATGCTCTGACAGCCTTACCCCATCCAGGCGGACATGTCCTGGATCAGTGAGTCCCCTTACTCCTTTTGCGTCAACTTCGGGACTGTTACCCTCCGGCTGTCCCCATTTGAAAGCCTATCTATAAAGATTCCTGGCCGCCCCTGCAGCCCTTAAAATCTGTCTTTCCAGACTTATCCCTCAGTAGAGGCACCACGACCAAATCCCGCTGGGAAGCTGAGTTGGCCACACTTCATTCTGCAAACCCCTGACCCTCGTGTCCCTCATTCTCGGCAGCAGATCTGGCCCCTAATTCATAGAGAAAACATATGCTGTCAGATACGGGTGCCCTGTTTCCCACTCTGCGTCCTCCACCCTCCGGCCCTCCCCCATGATGCGGTTCTCCTCCCGCCTTCCCAGGAGCCCTCCCCCATCTGCTGAGCCTTCTTCCCCGCAGCTCCAACCTCCCTTTCTGCACTGGTCCATCCCCATCTGTCCTTCCACCCGACCCATGCGGCCTCCACCTGCAGACGCCCTGTGTGGACTTCCCGCTCTCCGCCCACACTGCTCTTCAGGGGTCCACACGTCTGTATCCCCAGACATTTCCACTCGGCCGTCTCTGGGCGCGGTGAACTGCGCATCACCCACACCCCGGTCCTCCACTGTGTCCCAGGTCCCCTCATGTGGCCTCTGGAAATCCTCCTCTTCTTAATACCCCTGCTGGCTCCCCGTTGTGTTCAGGAGAAAGACCAGTTCCTTACGGGCCCCACGACCTCCTGCCGACCTGGGCTCTGTATTGCCCCTCAGGCCTCCGCTTCAGCCTCTCTGACCTTGTTCAGGCCCCCTGAAGGCGGCCCGCTCACCCCTTGCCCCGTGCATGGGCCAACTCCACTCCCGCACATGTCCTCTCTCCCCTTACCTGGTCACCCCTGCTCATCCTTGAGGTCTCAGGATAAAAATGAAGCCTTCCAGGTCCTTCCCTGATGCTCCTTCCCGCAAACTAGATCAGGTTCCCCGACATTCACTCTCTGAGACCCTGGACTCTCCTTCATTGCATTCAGTGCAAATTAATTTGGGGTTAATTTCAGCTGGCCTCTTACCTTTTCCAGTGGACTCCACTCTGAGAGAGGGACCAAGTCGCTTCCCCCCTGTTGAATCCCAGCACCTGGTTAGATCTTTAGTGTATCTTGGACATTTAGGAAATAACTTACAGATTGAATCAACGAACCGGGACTTCTCTACTTTGTACACGAGATAGAGCATTTCCGAGCTCTCACTGGTTTTGTCTTCCTGACGGTGTGGCTCTGGTTTTGATTCAGGTGAACGTCCCCCGGTGCTTACCCTTCTCAGGAGTGGGGAAGGTGAGGCAGGCTGCGTGCGGTGGTACAGGCTGCGCTGTGTTAAATGGTGAGACCCTCCTGTGGGTGGTTCGCTGGGGAGCTGTAGGTGGGTTGGATGGGGGCATGGCTCAGGATGCGCCGGAGCCTTGGCTGCAGCCCTCAGCTCGAGGGAGGGAAGGGAGCGTGGCTGTGGGAAGGCCTGCTTAGACTGGGCTCAGTTTATCATAGACTGGTGACGGAGGGTGACATCCTTGACAGAAGGATAGTAGCCATGATTCAGATGTAGACAAATAGACAGTGACGGGACCGAGTCCTTCTAACCTCTGTAATAATAGCAGACCTCTGGAATCTGCTCCTGCCTCTCCTTCGCCTGGGCCGGAGACTCAGCCCTGCCTTCCCCAGGGAGGCTGTGCCAGAAGACGCAGGGCCGAGAGGAGAAGGGCTGTCGGGTATGGATACCGAGGCCCGTGGCCCTGGGATCAAATGTCTGGCACCGCTGAGGAGCGTTAAACCTTCTATGACCAAAATACTCATTTCTGAGACTTTTAGGAATCTGGCCAGAGGTTGGTTGTGTACTTGGCTTGCTCTCGTGATCGGTGTGAAATGCAGAACATCTGTGTGGGAAAAATCGCCCTTCTGAGCCTCCCCTGTGCTCGCCCGGCTGCTGGGTGACGGATGACCCGGGCCCCTCCCGGTTACGCTCCGGATGTGGGAAGTTTGTGTCCTGAGATGGGTTAGCTGGCTAGACGTCCTCCACAGGCAAGAATTGTAAAGAGGAGAGAAGAAACATTATTTTAGATCTCTGTCCGTGTGTTCTTGCCAAGCAGGGAGGGGGGAAAAAAAAAACCCATCCACGTGGATATAGTGGATCTTGGTGGTGCGGTCTGAATTTCCAGTGAGGGCGGGCTGTGCTTGGTTCGCCTGACTGACCATTGTGTTTGCTATAATGCAGGAGAAGGACATGTTTTCGTCTGGGGCTACGGAATTCTTGGGAAAGGACCGAACCTTGTGGAAAGTGCACTTCCCGAGGTGATCCCGCCCACTCTCTTCGGCCTGACGGAGTTCAACCCGGAAGTCCAAGTTTCCCTCATCCGATGTGGCCTCAGCCACTTTGCTGCCCTGACCAGTAAGTGGCCAAGCCCGAGCGACCCTGGGGGCTGGCAGAGCTTAGCTGTGTCAGGTGCAGCGTCACGCTGCACTCTCCCTTCTCTGTGTGGACCCTTCCAGAGAGCGGCTAAGCCACGAGTTGCTTGGCCTTGAGGTCGTATGATGTGCATCTTCTCTTTATCCTGGAGTCGTGTTTTTGGTTCATTTGGTTTGTGGTCAGGCTAACGGTAAAGTGAGTTTTCTCAAGAGGGCGCCAGTCGGTGGTAGGAGAGGGGTGCCAGAGGAAGCCAGCGGAGGGGTCTGGCGAATCCACGGTGGGTAACCAGGAGGTGATGTGTGGGACAGCAGGAGGCGGGTCTGGAAGCCCATCCTGTGGTTTCTCGGAGGCCAGTCTGCCCGAGTCCTCCAGAGGGATCAGAGGCCGAGATGGAGGTTTTCGCAAAGCATTGCCAGATTACAAAGCCGTAAAATGTCCCGTGACTCGCGGGCGTCTGGCTGGTGTGTCCACTGTGTCTTACTCCACCTCGGTGAGCGTTGCTGGTTCGGTTTGCCGCTCTGTCGCTGACTTGAATAGTCAGGTTGAGCTAAATTCATTTCACGTTGTGATTCTCAAGGAAATTCGTGGTTTCCTTGCGATTAGAAAATCTTCTCATTTCATGGGAAGTAATTGTTTTCTTTTGAAACATCTGGGCTGGGATGATGAGTTTGGGTCGTTCTGAGTCACGGGAGTTTTTTGAAGCTGTTTTGCTTGAGCCAGTGAGAATCCGTATGGCCGAATTCTGGAGGCAACAAAGATGTATTTTCCAGGATGTTTCCGGGCTTGAACTCTGTGCAGAGTCACATTCTTGGAAATCCATACGAAGTGTTTGACTGGGACGGACTGTTTTCTGCTTGCTGTCATGCCGTGTGGCCGCTGTGGCTCCCGTTGATTTTCCCCAGGACCCGGTGGTCACCTTCCACGTGCCAGTTACTGCCCCTCAGTAGGGGGAGCGTCAGAGCTGGGGTTTCTGCCCTGTCTGTGGGCCCAGCATTTGCATCCTGCCAGCTGGGGGTTCGCATTGGTTGGTTTACCCTGAGGTCTGTTCATGTTTTTTGCGGGGGGGGGGGGGGGGCAGACTGTTTTGTTCTGCCGAACAGATAAAAATCTGGGGGGGGAGGACCAAGGAGGATGGTGAGATCAGAGGGCTCTGACAGCTCGTAACGAAGGGACTGTAGGTGGTGCCCTGCCAGGGCTGGGGGCCCATCCCGCAGGGTGGCATTTCCAGGGCCCCCTGTGCCTTCAGTCTGCTGGGCTGTCTTCCAACCTCATGGCACTTTTTACAATTTGTAAACATCCATTTTTACAGTGAGGTGTGCTCACTTGTCTGGGTCTTGCTCTTTGGCTCTCCACAGCCCCGTGAGGACAGGGGCCATGCCTGTTCAGTCGCTGCCCTGTCCCAGCTCCTAGCACACGGATGAAGACCTGGCCCATAGAGGCGCCGGTCACTGTATCTCTTGACCCAATGGTTCCGAAATACGGAAACCAGACAAGGAATGACAGATCATCCTCCTTCTCACCCGGTCAGGGCGTGACCTGGGCTTGAGGGGGGCTCAGCTGTCAGGCTTTGAGGAGGGGGTGTGCAGAAGGGGCGAGCAGAGCGGGCTGTGTGTGGAGCCGCCTGGCCCCAGAGCACCGCGCCTGCGCCAGTCCCCCACGTGACGGACGCAGCGCGCATCCATTCAAAGGAAAGCGTTAAGGCCTGGTAGAAATTGGAATTGAACAGAGGGCCCTGTTGGTCCCTGGTTCTAGAAAGCCTGTTCTTATGACCCTCCTCCTAGAGACTTGCTCTTGGTCTAGCCCCAGCCAAACTACCATTTTCCTTTCTTTGCAGACAAAGGAGAACTGTTTGTGTGGGGCAAGAACATCCGAGGGTGCCTGGGCATCGGTCGCCTGGAAGACCAGTATTTCCCATGGAGGGTAAGGCTCTGCAGGGTGGGCTTGAGGGCGCACCCGCGGCGCGGGGCTCCGGGGCTCCACCAGCGTGCAGCTGGGCTAGTGCCAGGGCCCTGGGAATGGCTCCCCCTCTCAGGTCCTGGCTGCCCCCTCCTGCCCCGCGGCTTCCGGGGAGGCCCCCATCATGGTGAGGAGCCAGAGCGGGCGCCCAGCTCATGGCTCACTGCCCTTAGCTCTGTCCCGGGGCCTGCTGAGTGAACGGCCTGCCGGAGCGGGGAGCAGCCTGGCCGAGGGTTCCAGTCCCTTGGCGCCCTGGAAGAAGCCTCGTCAGATGCTGTCTGTGGGTACGTGGAGTGGGGAAACAGAGGCACGCCAGCGCCCCAGAGAGGAGCAGGCCGCGTGCAGGCCGGGCGCCGTGAGGCCCCGAGAGGGAGAGATTGGAAATGACAAAGTTGGTGTGCCAGGAGCTGTTTACAGAGGCCTGTGTGGAGGAATGTTTTACAGCGAATTGAAAAGAGAGCAGGATGTTTAATATTTAGAGTACCACAGCCACCAAAGTAAAAAAATAAAAGCTTTCCTTAGGGAGAGGATGCAATTATACAAAAAAAAGGCTCATTTCAAAATTAAAGGGGAAAAAGGTTCCTTCCTAAATTACAGTTTATCTCAGTATTGTTTACTAAGTTCTCCTAAAACAAAACAAAAAGCTCTTCATATTTTTGCAAACAGAACATATGTACGTGGTATAAGAGGTATTATAAAAAATAAGTCTCCCATCTCTTGTCCCAGAGGCAGCCACTGGTACTGGTTTCTTATGTTTCCTTCCAGACGTAGTCTGCATCAAGAGGCGTGTGCACGCACATGCTTAAGTGATCTTCTTTGAAGGTTGGATTTTAATAGCGTGTTTTGAAATCGTGTAAAGCATTTTTTTTTAAAACCTCATGTGAAAATGCAAAAGCAGTGTATAACTTAAATAAAATCAGGATTTGTCTGTCAAAAACCCTCTGTAAGATGTTTTGAGGCACCTCCGTATTTGGGGGGTTGTTTCCCTTGGCCGTGGGCTGTCCTGGTTCCCAGTGACCTCGGTAGGCCCTGACCCCTTTATAAAAACCGGAGGTGCTGTCTCTAAGAAAACAGGTCAGAATGGGGGCTTTCTGTTTGCTGGAAAGAAATGGTTGTGCACCGGAGTTGGGCACAGGCTGGTTGGTGCTCGCTCGCTAGTCCCCAGCCCGGATCCCCCTTACAGGGAGGGAATGGGCGGCCGCTTGGTGGACAGTGGGGGGCAGGGCAGGTGACACGAGCGTCGATGATGTGGAGGCCCCACTCTCTTTCATGGTAGTTTCTCGTTGAGGGGAAGCTTGGCAAGCGGCAGAGCGGCTGGGTTTTGGATGCACGACCGCTCTGCCGGGTGTGAGGGGCTCCCCACCTGCTTCCCTCTCCCCCACATTACAGTGAAGATCACCCATGCAATCAGATTTGGAATCTGATCGCGCTGTCCTGTCCAAATGGCCGGAGGTTGGTCCCGGCTGTGGGGCCGGAAGCACCCGGGTGCTGAGGCCACTTGCTGTCCAGACCGGAGCCCCCCTCTGCAGACTCTTTACTCACCAAGTGGCCCTCTGGGAACGTCACTCCCGGTACCCCTGCTGTGAGGGAGGGGACACTCCGGGCTGTGTCCCCGATGGCTGCTCCCCCCTGGCACACTGGCTGAGCCCTCCATGCTTGTGGGGTTGGGAGGACCAGCCGAGGAGAACACCTTCCAGCATGGTGCTGAGGACCTGGCCCTTGCTGTGCTCTGGGGGCCAGAGCTGTCAGCCTAGGCTCTGCGGGATGGTGGTGGCCCAAACCGGGTTTGGGATCAGTGGGGTTGGATTCCTTAAAGATCAGATTTGCCTCATATTGGGTAGTGGGATCTTAGTCCAGTCTGTTCTTTTGCACTCGTTTTTTTTTTTTTTTTTAATGACAGGTGATTTTTATTCTTCAAAAATTTGTATTTTCTTATTAATCTTTGGTGGGGGGACTGTCATATCACTTTAGAAGTATTCGAAGAAGGGAAAAAAAAAAAAAAAAAGAGTAAAGCCCTATCTGTAGCTCCTGCAATGGCACTGAACTAGTTATTCTCAGACTCCCAGAGCCCGGGCTGCTTTGAAAGTCTGAAGGCCCAGGGAGTGACACCTGCGCTCCGCCCCCCACTCAAACCTCTCTTTCCGGAAGCTTTCCTGAAGGTTACCCTGCCGCACACTGACACAGAGCTCTGAGGGTCAGTGGGCTCTTCAAGGCCACTCATCCCGTAAGAGGCAGGGCCCAGAGTCAGACTCAGATGTGTCTGACTTTGACACTTCACTGTGGTGCCCTCCTCTGTGAGGGCCCGGAGCTGGAGAATCAGGTCCCCAGTGGTGGGGAAGAGGCGGGGACATGCCCCCCAGGTCTATACGGGGGCCCCCTCCGACCTACCTGGCGGCCCCGCTGGATCAGGCCCCCGGGGCAAGCGTTTGAATGGCCCTCCCCCATCACCCACCCACAACTGCGCTCTTTCCAGATGCACATCGTTGCCTGTCTGAGGGGGCAGCGGTGCTGTCCCGCGTGCCGGGTGCCTTGCTTTCGTTCCATCCTCAGGACAGTCTGCGAAGCCCCCCGCCGCCCCCCGGCCTGCAGCTGTGGTTGCTGACTTCAGGCATCGACCGGGCTGCCCTGTCTCACGGCCTTGCAGCAGGTGGGGCTGCGACGTGAACTTGGGGCTCTGGCTGCAGACTCTGCAGCCCCTCGCTGTGCGCCCTCGGGTTGGCCCGCTTGGGGCGCACGGGCTGGCAGGCCCTCTGGCTGCCCGGCCTCTTCCCACACGGCCCCGGGCCCCAGGCGGGGTGTCTGGGGGAGCGGACGTGTCGGGGCTGCGAAGGAACTTGCAGATGCAACCAAGTCGGGGAGCAGCCAGTTCAGGGCTCCTTCTCAGCCCCCCACCTTTCTCCTGGGGGCGTTTCAGACTTTGTCGTCACGAAGAGGGACATTCCTGATGCCGCTCAAACTTGTAAGAGTGTGTTAAGGCTGGATGTGGTGCGGTTTTTGGAACTGTTTCCCTTTGCAAGAATGTAGCGAGTGTAAATTGGTTTAGAAGAGACACTTCATTTCACCTGGATGAGGACACATCACACCCATGACCAAGCGCAGTGTCATCTTGGACCCCGGAGACCGTCAGAGACCGAGAGCCCACACGCCGGGGGGAGCGGGGACCACGGGGGCCCAGGGGCCTCTGAGGCCAGCCTCGGCCGCGACCATCCTCCCAGCGTGCCAACCAGGGCCAGCTGGTTACTCTGCTGGGGGCTCTAATGGCCAGAGCACTCGGGGACGAGGACCGGGGTGCTTAAGTGCAGCAGCGTGGGGCCCGGGGAGCGCCGCGGGCGGCAGTCTCCCCGGGAAGGTCAAGATCGCGTGCTCTAATGGCCCGGGGAGGTTGCTAGGAGTTCACCTGGGCCCATCACCACAGAGGCGGCGCATTTCCTTCTGCTTCCATGGCCAGCCTGGACTGCTTCCTGCACCTCCAGGCCTTGGCGAGGAACCGGGGGCCACTGCTGCGCGTTTGTTCAGTGATTTCTGTGATAGGTGTCACTAAGCACGTTTGTTTAGGGACGGAGGGGCAGGCAGCACGGCTCGCTTGCTAGCGTCCATTTGCCTGGTGGCCCGGAGCCCTTAACGGACCTGTCTCCCCGCGCTGCGGGCCCCGGGCTCTGGGGTCACCGCCATCGCCGCTGCCCGTGGGTGTTCAGGCCAGGCCGTCTGGATGAGGCCTCCCCCCACCCCCGCCCCGCCCCTTCGCTCACTGAGTCCACAGGCTGTGACAGATCCCGCTCCAGCTCTCCCACTGCCTGGCAGAGCAGGGCCACCAGGGGAGGGTGGCCGAGTTGGGATCTGCGCGGACCGAACAGCAGCGTCAGCATCCGGCAAGGGTCTGAGCGCTCGGCCTGGCAGGATTAGTGACTTACAAACTCCCCCCTGAAAAACACGGTTCTCGCCGGTGCTGCTGGTGCTTGCATCGGGAACCTTGGGAGCGACGGCGGGAACCAGTTAAAAGGGGATTCCAGTTCAGAGGGAAGGTGGGAATAAAGGGGCAGATGCCGACGGGGGTGGGGGTTAAAAGGTACCTAATACTGGGGCGCCCGGCTGGCTCAGTGGGCGGAGCACGTGACTCTTGATCTCGGGGCTGTGAGTTCGAGCCCCACGGCGGGTGTAGAGATTACTTAAAAAATAAAATCAGGAAAGAAAGGGATTTAATATCTTTTAATTCTTTTTCACTGAATGTCGTTTTATAATGTGGCCATGAGAGGGTCTTACCTATTGAAAATAACGATAGTAATAGTCTAACCAGAGGAAGACAAGCACCCCTCCTCTGGAGAACCGGCCAGGCTCTGGGGACGTGGAAGTCCTTGCATCGTGGGCACACCCGGGGCTGGCTGGGGTGGCCGTCGCCAGGGCCAGCCTGTTTGACGGCGAGAATCATTTTTTTTTTTTTAAACTATTTGTTTTTTTTTTTTAAAGATTTTTTTTTATTTATTTATTGAGAGAGAGAGAGAATGATAGAGAGCATGAGAGGGTGGAGGGTCAGAGGGAGAAGCAGACTCCCTGCTGAGCAGGGAGCCCGATGCGGGACTCGATCCTGGGACTCCAGGATCATGACCTGAGCCGAAGGCAGTTGCTTAACCAACTGAGCCACCCAGGCGCCCCTGACGGCGAGAATCATTTTAAAGGCCAACCAGCCGGAGCCTCTACATCGGCCTGAGGGCTGCTCCCTTGGGTGGGCGCTGTTGGCAGGACTGCCCGCAGGGCCTGTGGCCCGCTCTGTGACACAGCAGACCTTCCTCCTCGAGGGTGCATATCGTTTGGGAAACCCCCGGCCCGGAGCTGAGGCTGATGGCGCGCGCGGCTATAGATGCCGGCCGGGGGCCTCCTTCCCAGAGCAGGGGTTTCTGGCGCTCCAGGCAGCCCTGGGGGTGACGTCGAGGAAAGGTCACTGAGCCCCTGGCTCGGGAGCAGGTGTTGACCTCTGGCGGGGTCGTGCACAGGGGGGAGTAGCCTCTGGGGGAGCTGCGGGCTCCAGCAGCCTCTCCCGACGGGTGGGTAGGAAGAGTCATGTCTGCCATTGGCTGGGTGGGACGCTGGGGTGACTTGTGCGCTCATCGGAACCGCCCTGCTGGCTGGGTGGAAGCATCCCCATCTCTGGGGGAGGGAGCCAAGGCTTGGGGAGGTTAAGTCACCCACCAAGAGGCAGAGCCAGGCTCAGGCCCAGGTTGGGCCTCCTCCAAACCATGTCCCCTCACGCTGTGCTGGGTCTTGTTTTGCAGGTGACCATGCCTGGGGAGCCCGTGGATGTGGCGTGTGGTGTGGATCACATGGTGACTCTGGCCAAGTCTTTCGTCTGAAGCCCCTCCCTGACCTGCTTGAGCCCGGAACCTGGCCTCAGAACCACTGGGACTGCTTGGCAGAGGCCCCTGGCGGGGCTCTTGCTAGGGGTCAGAGAGGATCCGGGCCCTTGGTGACACGTGATGCTCTCTGCCAGTGCCCTTAGCAAGAACGGACAGGAAGTCCCGGGACTCAGGGCCCCTCTCCGGCTGAGGGTGAGACTGGCTGCGTTCACCGCGGGATGGCTGTCCTCATCAGGCCAAGCACCAGTGAGAGGGATCCCTATTCCTGACCCGAGCAGCTGGTCCGGGGGAAGCTTAGCTCTCCGGCATGCCATTTTGTTTGTTCTTAAAGGTGGCCCGACGGACTCTTAAGTGGCCCGGTGGGCTTTTGTATGTAAGCCTCCGACCACAGCAGAGCTCATGGTGGGCGTGTGGGCATCAGGGCGAGCCCCAGCCTGACTGAGGGAGCCGGGCTGAGAAGCCCCTGCAGGAGTTAGAGCGAGGCCAGGTTCTCGTGCACCGAACACGCCCCGCAAAAGCTTGTCTGGAGGGCCAGCCTCGGAGAAGAGATTCAGAAATTGTGGAAAACAATTTGAGGTAGTAACATAAACTTGGCCTTTCGTTTAAAAATGTCTTTGAAAAATCCCTTTTAGAATAAAGTCTATTTTCTGCCTTTTTATTTTTGAGCACTGAAGAGGTCTTTTTTTTTTTTTTTTAATCTTACTTGATCATTTAGAGATTCGCTTGCAAAAACAAGGCTTTTGATAAAGAGGCAGCTAGAAGCCAGTGACAGATACTTCAGAAGCCAGTCCTGCTTGAAAACAATTTGTCTTCACAGTCCCCTCCCACGGTTCAGTTGGGAGAAAACAACGAAGCCTAAAAATAAACTGGTAATCATGTCACCCACCGGGATCTCACTCCCTGGCTGCACCCCCCCCCCCCCTCTCTGATTCATTCACTCAACAGATACTCTGTGCCCCCCGCGTGCCAGCCACTGTGGATCACGCTGGGTCCCTCCGGGACGACACCCCCGTCAGCAGGTCCCACGAAGCTTACGTTCTAGGAGGCAGAACACAACTGACGAGCAAAACGGAGAGTATGGTAGATGGCTCGGTGGGCCGCGGAGACAAATAAAGCCGGGGCAGGGGGCTGGCCACGTGGGGGCTTTGCAGTTGGAAGTGGAATGGTCTGGGTGCCTGGCTGGCTCAGTCGGTGGTGCTCGGGGGTTGTCAGTTCGAGTCCCACACTGGGTGGAGAGAGGACCTAAAATCTTTAGGGGGCGCCTGGGTGGCTCAGTTGGTTAAGCGTCTGACTCTTGATCTCAGCTCAGGGCATGACCTCAGGGTTGTGGGGTCGAGCCCCGAGTTGGGCTCCACGCTGGGTGGCATGGAGCCTGCTTGGGATTCTCTCCCTCTCCCTCTGCCCCCCCCCCCCCGCCCATGCTTTCTCTCTAAATAAAAGTCTTAAAATAAGAAAGTGAAACGGTCACTGAGTAGTCTCAGTCCTGTGGGCTGAGGCCACAGGAACCAGCCAGGTCGAAGTTGAAAATGGATTTGTCATTTTCCTTCCCAAAACTCCTGGCTGGGCCGTGTTCCCTGTCACCGCAGCGGTGAAGAACAGAAGTCCATCTTCTGTGCAATAGGCACCTTAGAGCACCTACTGATTTACGGAGCGTGAGTGCCCCAGAAGGTCAAGGTCATGCCTCCTGGGTGCCACCAGCGGTGTTCAAGGCCAGGACGTGATGGTGCTGGGGAGGGTCTCTGCTGAAGGTAGGAGTGGTTTTAAGCCTCACACCCGAGATTCAGCTCCAATAACTACCTCCATCTGGGACACAGCAGCCAGGGTACTAAAAGGGCTGTCCTTGGGTTTGTCTTAAAACCCAGTGTCTTGCAGTCCGCCTCGGTCTCCCTGGCTGGCTGGAATGCATCTGCCCCACGCCAGACCCTCTCCACAGCTGTCTTCCACCCTGGTGTCTCCGCTTCTGTCCCCTCGTGGCTGCCCCTGAGTCCCCATAGAAGTCCTGCCTCCAGTGTGTCATCCGAAGGCCCGAGGGCGCTCAGCCTGCAGACCCCGGAGGGAAAAGCCTTCACAGCAGCAGAGCTTCCTGGGGCTCAGGGTGGTAAGAGAGTGCTCCAGCCCCACACTCACCCCCTTCCGTCTCCAGGGGCAGGGGTGAGGTAGGGTGGGGCCAAGCGCAGACACAGGTCTTCGGCCCTGCCCTGCTCGCACCTGCCTTCCGTGGAAAATCCCAGAGAGGTCCAGGACCTCCTTCTTGCCGGGGCAGCCCCAGTGCCCACCTGCCAAGAGGACAAGGAGCCAGACGCCCGAGGCTTGTGGAGGGACGCTGGGCAGGTGCCCTCGCTCCTGCTGCCGGGGGATCCGGTCTGGAGGCATCAGGTCCTGGGCTTCCAGAACCAGGCAGCCCGTCCCGGGGGGCGGGGGGGTGATGTCCACAGCAGGGCTCCAGGCTTGGGGAAGGGGCTCTGTCCTGGCCTACGGGTCCTCCTGAACCCCAGGCCCACCTCCGCCAGAGGTCTGGGGAGGAATGGTGGGCGTAGTAGCCGGTCTCCGAGATGGCCCCCGAGACCTTGACCTTGAGTGGTCTCCTCCTGTGTCAAATCGGAGCTGGGCTGTACGGCCACAGCATAGGGGGGCGGGTGATGGTGTGTGGATTCTGAGGCCAAACCATTTTGGCTTCTCCCTTGGCCCTCCCATCCCTTGCTCTGGGGGAAGCCAGGCACCCTACAGCGAGGAAACAACCCCGCGGGGAGACCCATGCTGAGAGGAACAGGCTTCCTGCCAACAGACAGGGTGAATAAACCGCCTTTGGATGTAGATCCTCCGGTCTCGGCCAAGACTTCAGATGGTTGCAGCCTCACGAGGGGCTCTGAGCCAGAACTGCTCAGACTGCTCCCGAATTCCTAACCCACGTAAACCGCGACACACACGCAGTCATTTGTAAAGCTGTGAAGCTTGGGGGCAGCTTGTTACGCAGCACCAGATAACTATTACAGCCCCTCTCGCTCTGGGGCGGGTGTTTCTTCTCTCAGGCTCTGGGTGTTCGGCTGGAAGGCTTGCTCTCCTTCCTCCGAGCCCCCCAGCCTGAGCTCCCCCAACCCCGACCACGGCTCAGGGAAAGGAAAGACTGCAGATGTCGTCCCGGGTCAGCCCCAAATCAGACACTGGTCAGCCAACATCCATTTTTGTCTCCGTTTTAATTAACACTTTACAAAGTACAAAATATACTGTCTTTTTTGGGGGAACATTAGGTACTTTTTTTCTCTCCGTCATACAGTACATGAATCTCGAGGGTTTTGTGTGTCTTCAACAAAGAGGGGAGAAGCGTGAGGGCCCTGGGGCGTCGGGTGGCCCCGTGCTCCCCCTTGCCCAGAGCTTGGGACAGATGTAAGTGCCACTGCTACTGCTGGTGACCCGGGGCGTGCCAGGTGAGGGCCAGACCCCCAAGGCGAGGCCCTGGGCAGGGCAGAGTCCCCTCAGAGCCCCATCATGCGCCCAACATCCGCTCACCCCCATCTCAGGATAACGGAAATAATTTTGGCATAGAGCAAGAGGAGGACTTGGGATTTTGTTTGTTGTCCGCCCCCTCCCCCCACCCCATCCCGCCCAGCTGGGGACCCAGCCCTGCTCTGTTCTTCCTGGATCATTTTCTGGATAGGTAAACTGAGGCAGAGGACAGGAAAATGCACCGGGCTTGCCCTCTGTCTTGGGACCCGAATTGGGCCCATTCCTCATCCCCCACCCTGGTCTCCCAACTTCACTGGATGCTCTTCGCAGAGGACCCCCAGCAGGTGAGGGGGCGCCCGCACCCGAACCCTCTCCCTGCAAATACTGTCTTCAGGACTGGACGCTTTTGAAGAGCTGGCCCCCTGGGGCCCCTGCTGGGGGCACCTCCGCCCCTCCGAGCAGCTTTAACAAGGTCAAGGGACGTGGGGCGGTCCCGAGGGCGAGGCCTGCCATCCACGCACTGTCAACCCTACTCCGTGTGGCCCACGGGTGACAAGGCTCCCGCGGCCTCAAAATACTGAACGAGCCAGGCCCGTGGCTCGGATCTGGGCTCTGCACGGAGGCGCTCGCACACACACGGATGTGTAGGACACAACACACCGCGGCCAAGCACACAACACTGTCCTGACTCCCGGCCTTCTCCCCCCACCTTTGATCCAAGAGCCTCAGCCACGGATGCCACGGGCCAGGCCGCAGGCCTCTCCCTCTGTCCCAGGGCCACTCCCGGTGCCATCGGCCCCAAGGACAGCCGGCTGCTTGGCCAACACCTCCCCCACCTGGGCTTCGCCTTCTCAACAGAGCAGGTTTCATATAGGAGGCCGTGGATGTCAAAGCTGAAGGCCACGGCCCACCCTGTGGCTTCCTCCCAGGGTCTAAGGATAGAGAGACAGTGAAGCTTGCCCTGGTGTTGCCTCCAATTTGAAAACGGAGGGGAGAAAACTAGCTGGGAGGAGCTCTGAGATGTAGGAAAAGGTATACAGGGGTCAACTCCCCTCAGGACCACCCGGCCTCTCGCTGCAAGCCCACCCTCGGCTGGGCTGACCCACCGTGGCCACCTTGGTTGGCTCGGCACCTGGCAGCCCCTTTGAAGGGAGGCTACTGCCCTCTCCAGGCCGAGCCCTTCCCCCAGCACAGCATCTAGGAAAACCTGAAAAGCCAAAACTCGTGTCTTTGGGGGTGTGGGGGGGGAGACTCCATTAACCTCCCCCCTCAAGCTCTGCTCACCAGGCCAGATGCCTGCTCTATTTCCCAGTGGCTGTGACCAGCTGCCCCCCTGCCCCCGCTTATGGGGGACACAGATCTATGGGGGGGTTCCGCCTACCTCCCACTCAGGTTTCACTCAGGAAGTGGCATCAAAAAATCCTGGGTCTCAGAGCACAGGAGTGCTCTGCTGACAGCTGGGAAGTCCTCAAGGCCCCTCTTAGCCCTGGCTGGGAAGGGCCCAAGTTGTTCCCACGTGCAGATCCAGAGGCCCAGAAGGGTGGCCCAGGGACTCCTAATGGTGAGCCTGAGAAACGCAGCCAGGAGGGATGGGTCGGGGTGGGGTGGGGGTGGGGAGCGAGGTCATCTTTGGCTATCAGGCGACTGGTGCCCTTGGCTTGGGACTGGGGCCTCACCCTAGCCATCAAACCAGAACCTTCTCTCCTGACCTCCAGGCCCATCCTCTGTCACCTCACAGGGGACAAGCCTCGCCAGACCACGCATCTTCTTCCGGACACCACACTGGTCACCAAGGCCATGCTGCCCGATGGGGGAGACCACGGCAGGCGGCTCTGGGTTCCACTAGGGGCCCGTGGCCTGCAGTTGGTGGGAGGGGGAGAACGCTGGTGCTTGGGAGACTCTGGACCCCCTGGATCCCGGGGTGGGGAAGTCCGTACACCTCTCTAGCTTGGATGTGTGCCCTGGGCTTTGGAGACCCCCCCCCCATGGAGGAAGGAGGCGCAGCGCTGGCCCCGCCCACCTCTGCTGGGTCGAGATGGGCTGCTGAGGGAGAAAGCTGTTTCTCAGGAACCAGAGGAACCCACCCTGAGGGTTGAGCCACGGAGACAGGGATGGTCACGCTTCTCTGTAGCGTGCAGGGATGGGGCAGGCGAGGGGCAAGGGGTGGCCTTTAGCTGGTGTGGGCTTTTCTTACCAGGGGGTGACACAGAGGCA